TTGTTTCAAACAAACAAACAAATATTAAATTCTTTGAAATGAATAAAATCTAAATAGTCTATTTTAGCTGAAAACACATATTTTAGATATTTTATGCTGGCACTTCACATGATTTTTCATTACCTATAGATTATAATAAGGAGATGCTGTCTAATTTACTTTACTTAATTTTTTATTTAATTTTTTTTTTTTACTTATGACCTTTTGTAATTCGAAGTAAAGGACATGGTAAAATTTTGTATGAGCGACTGCCCCAGCAATGTATAAATATTGTACTTAGTAATATTTAATGCTGGATGGCTGAATACTTATACACACTCAGGTCATAAGTATTGTCACACAGTAAAAAAAATCTTTTAGAATGCTGGCCACAAAAAAGTTTATTGAATTCGAATTTCGTATTGTTCATGAAAATAAAAAAGGTATACTTTTTAGAATTTTACTCATTTTTAAATATGGAGTGGACGCTCAAAGAAGACCGTGTTGCAGTTATTGCGTTGCATCGTTGCGGTTACGCGCCAATTCAAATTTTCGACATACTGAAAAATTTGAATAAAACCAAAAGATTCGTTTATCGTACCATCAAACGATACAATGAAGACTCTAGTGTAGATGACAGGTCAAGAAGTGGTCGCCCTCGGTCTGTTAGGACTCCAGCACTGATAAAAGCTGTGAAGGCGCGAATTCAAAGAAATCCCAAACGTAAGCAGCAACTGTTGGCCCTTCAGATGGTGTTAAGCAGAATCACGGTGAAAAGGGTGTTAAATGAAGAAGCGAGCAACCGTATCCGCGTATCCAACGAGGTCATTTTCCATCCTCGCTCATGGTATGATTGGGAGTTTCTTATTGGGCTTAACAGAGGTACATTTTTGTGAGAAAGGTGTAAAAATGAATGCAGTTGTGTATCAAAATACAGTCCTGATGAACCTTGTGGAACCTGTTTCTCATACCATGTTCAATAACAGGCACTGGATATTCCAACCAGATTCGGCGCCAGCTCATAGAGCGAAGAGCACACAAGACTGGCTGGCGGCGCGTGAAATCGACTTCATCCGGCACGAAGACTGGCCCTCCTCCAGTCCTGATTTGAGTCCGTTAGATTACAAGATATGGCAACACTTGGAGGAAAAGGCGTGCTCAAAGCCTCATCCCAATTTGGAGTCACTTAAGACATCCTTGATTAAGGCAGCCGCCGATATTGACATGGACCTCGTTCGTGCTGCGATAGACGACTAGCCGAGCAGATTGAAGGCCTGTATTCAAAATCACGGAGGTCATTTTGAATAAACTTTATTGTCATAAGAATCTATGTTTTGTTAAGTTCATTATTTTATTATTTATTTTGGTATATAAATGGAATGAATAAACTTGTTTCAATTATTTTATATTAAACATGTGACAGAATTTATGACCCGACCAGGTAATTTCTATGAAAATAGGCTCAGGAACTTCTGATAAAGTCACAATCTTGAAAATTATGAGCAGTCCTACTACGTCATTACCTTGCTACATTTAATAAAAGATGTTGCAAATAATTTACAGAGCCATCAATTTCTTAGAATCTTTCCTCCCATTACTCTGATTAACACTTCACAAAAAGTATATTTAAAGTAAAAATAAATACAAATTATTTGTCGTCGTCGGTCTGACAGAAAATCTGTGAAGTTTTATTTTGTTCATTTGTAAACAACAAAGGATTAATTATCATACAGCCTTGTCTCAAGCCTGATCATAAAAATAAAATCTATTATTTTAGGTCTTATGTGATTTCTTATAATAAAAATGAGGGCCAAATATGTCATAGTTTTTAGGTGTTTGGAATTAATATTGTTTATTTCGATATACTTACAAATATTTTTTTAGTATATTTATTGTTCATTTGTTTTTGTCAAACGGAACGGAATAGTATACTTCCGGTCAACGTGACATTACATTTTTCGCCAATAAACTGTTAATCAGTTTGGCGAAATTATAAAGTGTAGTTAATAGTTTAAAATTGTAGTTGATAAATAAATTAAAAAAAAAACATTGTATCGTTTGACGTATTAATGACAGTCATTTGATGTAACACACTAGTGAGACGCCATAATGTCCTGAAAAACGTTTTCACGGCAATATGAAAATTTAATTTTTAATTTAGTTTCTTTTTACTGAATTACACAACAGAATTAAAAATATCCACATTTTATGGACTCCAGAAACATTAGCAAATAACGTGAGATCGTTTTCTAAAACTTGTCAAATACTTTACTTATTGTATTCTTTAGTTTCTTTTACTAATTTTTGAGGTTATATAATTTTTTTCCTAAATCTATTCCAGCTACATTAACAAGACATAGGGTAACGAAATCGCTTTTCCCTCAATACCCCTTGCTGACATTAACCAAACTGAGTTACCCCCGTCCCTCCGGTGGTCGTAAACTAATCTTTAACAAGATTGCAAGACAAATAAATAAAAAGACACATGAAAACAAACTACCGGAAAAATGTTCGCTACCCCTTTTCGCAAATGAGATAAGTTGACGGACAAATTGAAAGGATTACGGGCACCTAATATGGGTAGAAACCAGACAAGTTCGAATCAGTATAGAAAAGCGAGGGTTCCTTAGCATTTTAAATTTTGTTGCATTATCTCTGTTTAAACTAAAAGACTTGGCGATACTGATTGTATGCAGTTGATGTTTTATTTAATATCACACCTATTATTGATTATAAAGAAAACCTGCAATTGGTCTTACCGTAATTTATTATTTATAGAAGTAATATTTGTAACACTGTTGGTTTTGTCTAAATAAATAAATAGTTCTAACAAGGCCACGTTATTTGTTTAATCCCTGATATAAACACAGTTTTTTTGTAACGGACACCCCGTAATTTTTCAACTTTACCTTATCCCATTTAAAGCTGATTTTTCAAAACTCAGATAAAACTTAACTGTTCAATAAATATATACTCAATCAAATAGAGAGAGATGTCATCTGTCACATTACACCAATTAACACAAGTCAACTCTTTATTTTGTCCGTATAATACGATATCAGACAGATAAATTTTATCCAGTGTTCGAGAAATCAGCCCTTACTAATAAAAACGCATAAGTTCGTATGGATATTTGTTACTCTTTCACGCTTAAACGGGTGCAAAAATTTGGCATACCTACATATGTTGCTTTTCACAAAGATGACACACATGAGGTCGCGGGCGTAAGCCAGTTATTGTCGCCGCACACGGGCCACACGCCACAGCCACAAACGCCGCCACGAGAAGATAGAAGCGGCTACTAAAGTGGCTGAGGCGCGCGACAGCGGCCGGCTAAGGTAAGGGAGAGGGGGGTGGGGAATCGCGCGAGTGACGTGTGGCGGCGTTTTGTATCGGCGCATTAAGTGGCCGGTGCGGGCCACGACGATTTGTAGCGTGTGGCGGCCACCGGCGTACCGTGAGTGGCGAGTCCATATAAAATGTATGAAAACTACAAGCACTATGCCGGTGGCGACGTTTCGAGGTTGTGGTCGCTGGCCCGTGTGCGGCGACACTTAAACAACACTTTCTTAAGACAGTGGCTTAACACGTAAGTATTCGATGATTTTTTTATGTTAAAAGGATATCAAACAATGATATTTCCCGCCTGATGGTAAGCGGCCACCATAGCCTATAGGCGCTTGAGATACCAAAAATATCACTCGCGCCGCTGCCTACCCTGACCCAATCCCCTCCCCCGTGGAGCCCTAGTACCTTACTCACCGACAGAAACATAATGCCACCAAAAGGTAGTGTTATTTTACTGTGGTCTTTTGTAAGGTGGAGGTGACTTTCCCAGACGGGCGCTCTAATAGGGACGATGACTATTTTTTTTTCTTCGTTTATCAGGTAGATTATCAAAAAGTATTGGACACGTATTTTTTCTTTTTTCACATAATATAAACATTGCAGAGATATATTGATTTGAAAAGTCGCATGACGTCACGTTTTGGTACAATTTTCACTTAAGTGACGTCACGATACTACTCCCAATCTTTGACGCGCTATAACTTTGTCTTTTTTTGGTTGATTGCCCAAAGAAAAAATACGTATCAATTATTTTTTGATCATCTAACTGACGGACTAAATATAATTTCATTTACTGTATCCCGTCATCACCCCTATTCCTACAGCAAAATCCGCTATTTACCTCATTTGCCTATATCTGTTAAGAAAGAGCAATGTGTCAGAAAAATTTACAGCGGAGACGTTGAAATAGTGCTCCTTTGGATACGGAACCTTAAAACTGATAGTTATAGAAGGAGTTTTATGTTTTGTTTTTGCGTACACCTACATATAATTTGAATAGAACAGTTACTGTCACAACTTTCACACATATTGGTTGTTTACAATATTACTTTTTCTTTTTCATGACATTAACTATTCAGCAACGATAGGCGCTATAAAACGAAGCCGAAGCACCTGCGTGATATTGATAGTAATGATATTGATAATGATAATAATGATATTGACAAAAATGATATTGATAATAATGATATTGATAACAATGATAATGGTGTTGACGATAATGATTGTGATGTTAATGATAATAACGTTGATGATCATAGAAACAGTGCCATTATAGTCTGGTCAATCTAGACATTCAAAGGTACATAATTTACATCTAGCTGGAAGTGAGTTAAATTATTCAAAACATAATTAAAAATAAGACTTTAAAATTCTCCATCGTTCTCGTATTTACTCGAGGTCAAAGACAACTTAACTAAAAACTAAAAAAACTAAATTATGACAGCTTAAAATCGACATTTACCACTTTTTATATTGTTATTTATTATCTCAAGAACTGTGTCTCTTAGGGAAAAAATATTGATAAAATTAAAGATAATTTTATGATCTACAGTTTTGGCCTGAGGTAATTTTACGATGAAACTTACCGCTTTTATGAAAGTACCGTTTCCAAGTACCTCATTTTGTCTAAGTTGACCGGATTATTAATGATGATAAGCATTAAATTAACTTACCAATCTGTCAGCTAAGATTTTGACGAGATGAACACAAGCATCCGTTGCCAAAAGTGGGGCAGGACTGACAGCAGCCACGCGAATTAATGTAGTCACCGCCGTTATTAGTAGCCTGGGTAATGGAGAAATGATATATTGAATTAACATTTACTATGATGTATCATCATCACCAGCCTATCAATGTCCCCACTGCTGGGGCACAGACCTTCCCTATGGTTGGAATAGGGAGATTAGGCCATGATTGGTGGGTGCTCACGCCTGCAGATGCAGCCGGGACCGACGATTTAACGTGCCTTCCGAAGCACGGAGGAGTTAGAGATATCTATGGTCACCCATCCAATGACCGACCATTGCGAAAGTTGCTTAACTTTCACGATCACAGGCCGAATGCGCTCACCGCCTGCTCAATCCAGCTCTTCATTAATAACATGTATGCTATCACAAAATAGAAAGATTCTAGAAGGAAACACACCTTATAATAGTGTGCTGATAATTTTTAAAGAGTTCCATCGGGTCCTGACTTGATGCCAATAGATCCAACAGGGAAGTACACCCTTTGAAAGACAAAGAGCGTTTTCCATTTAGAAAAAAAAGTCGACACTGTGTTGCACTGTGTCGACGATACTATAGCAAAAACCTAATGCCAACTAAAGCTTGGTAACTTCAATACTTTTCATTGGTAACAGTGTTACCTGAGTAAATACGAGAACAATGTTACCAATGAAAAGTATTGAAGTTACCAAGCTTTAGTTGGCATTAGGTTTTTGCTATAGTATCGTCGACACAGTGCAACACAGTGTCGACTTTTTTTTCTAAATGGAAAACGCTCTAAGGTATATTTCAACACATTTGCTCAAAATATGCATTCACGGAGGTTGTATACATTGTTCGAAAGTTCAAAGTTAAAGGCCATGCCAAAGGCCAAATTAAAAATAAACTGTAAAGCATACGCACGGCGCCTTATGCTTTACAGTTTATTTTTAATTTGCATCGATCTTTAGAAGCGCTTTTAATCTATACCTTTGTCTCACTTTAGTACTAAAAAGAATAAGAGACGGATAGATACTAGTTCTAATTTTCACCACCCGCACGTGGCGCCATTTGGAAATGCGCGCCATTTTCTTATTAGAAAAGAATTGCTTCATTACTTAAATTAGGTAGATATACTGTTTTCTCGCAAATGTGATAAAAACTTTGTATGATATTCGTGCTATGTTATTAAGGAGGGAATGCTCTGCCCACTAACGTGGAGTAAAGGAGGAGAATCATCACTAACCACCAATCGACACCAACATTCTACTAATATTATAAAGGTGAAAGTTGGTATGTTTGTTACTCAATCACACAAAAACTACTGAACGTAAATGGATGAAATATTGTGCGCATATAGTTTATGATGGAAAAATTGTAGCTTCCTGATAGGTAATTTTTATTTTTTAAGCATGTAACTGAGAACTAAAAACTAGAGAAAATATTATTAGAAATAATTCCACGCGGATCAGTCAGCAGACGGGACTCGAACTATTTTTTTCTTGTAATATTTTATTCCTGAGGGATTTTCAAAAATCTAAAGTTAACGCGGGCAAAGTCGGGGTTGGCCGCTAGTAGTACAAACTAGTAGAAAGAAGAAATGAGAAATGCAATAACTCACTTGGCGTTAAATTGTGGCGCGATATCTTCTCTCTCAGCGGCGACTGCTAACAGTTGGCCCAACAACCTCAGCCCGTGCAGCTTATGGAACATTGCTGTTTCCACTGAACTCTGTATGTAAATAAACATAATAAATTTTTTAAAATATTATAAATCTGACAGCAGTATATACTTATCATGCTCCTGAACGAATGAAAAGGACATAATATCTTCTGTCATATTTGACGACCTCCGTGGACTAGTGTTTTGTACGCCGGGTTTCATGTTGTGTTCAAGGTTCGAATTCCAGTGTGGGCAGATGTTTGTGTGATGAATACGAGCATTTGTACTCCAGTCATGGATGTTTAATATGTATTTCTATATAATTATACTTATATATGTATAGTATTATGTGAGTCGTATTGTATCAAAGGCGGCAAAGTAGGGCGAACCAAATATTTGGCAAATCAAAAAAACTGTTTAGTCTCGTCTTTAAGGGAGGATAAAATATTGACATTTCACTACGACTTGTAGTTTCGATGAATGTCAATTATAAAAATCCTCCCTTAAAGACGAGACTAAACAGTTTTTTTTGATTTGCCAAATATTTGGTTCGCCCTACTTTGCCGCCTTTGATACTATACGACTCGTATTCCATCCGTTACCCTAGTATCACATAACACACTTTGCTTTCTTTGGCTTTCCAGTGCTTACTTTGGGGCTAGGCTAATAATATCGGGCAAAAATTGGCAAATAAAATCGTCATCATCATCAGCCTATTAATATCCCCACTGCTGGGGCACAGACCTATGGATGGGATAGCGAAATTGGGCCATGACCAACCACGCGGGCCCAGTGCGGATTGGCGGGTGCTAACGACTGCAGATGCAGCCGGGACCAAACGTATTTACAACTTAGCAACTTTCGCAGTGGTCGGTCATTGGTTGGGTGACCAAAAATTTACTACCTCGAGCTTCTCCGTGCTTCGGAAGGCACATTATGCCGTTGGTCCCGGCTGCATCTGCAGTCGTTAGCACCCGCCAATCCGCACTGGGCCCGCGTGGTGGGTCATGGCCCAAACTCCCTATTCCATCCATAGGGAAGGCCTATGCCCCAGCAGTGGGGACATTAATAGGCTGATGATGATGATGATCTTATAATTCTGATGTATAAATAAAATGTCGACTAACCTTATCGAACCTCTCCATTATCCTGTACAACTCGTTCAACTGTCTCTCCAATATTGGCACATCGATCACAACCTTCGATCTCCGTTCACTTTTAACACTACACTTACTCATGTCACTCAACGAACTACACACAGAATTAGTTTTACTCAACTTTGGACGATCACCGTTCTTGTTATCACATTTATTCTTCTTTTTCTTTTTAATATTATCGGGTTTAAGTTCTTTGTCATCATCGATAATGTCCGGTTGTGTATTATTGTTGTTCTCTATGCTATCGAGTAATCTGTCACTGTCTTTCTTCTTTTTGTTTCTCTTTTTATCACTGTTTTCATCCAAATCACCGTTCACTGATTTAGTTTTATTCATCTTTTTGTTTTTCTTGTTATTTTTTTCGATTTCATCTATTTCTATCCCATTTTGGTGTACTTCAGGTCGTTTGTCGTCTCTTTCTGGCTCTAAAAGAGGTGTGATGATATTCGAAAGTGAGTTTAGCACTTTATATAACTTGCTTGAAGGCGGGAAAGCTAAGTAATCGAGTGTATTTGGGGCGTCGTCGAATGAAACTTCGTTGCTTCTGAAAAGGAATTTCTTCATAAGTATTTTCTGCTTTAATTTATGGTTTTAGTCAATGCAAATATTCTAGCAAATATTATAAAACAAATAAAAGTTCAGTATTACAACCTGGAAAAGATCTGAAACGTAGAGAATAATATAAATTTAAATAAATTGCGCTTTATGCTCATTCAAAAAGTATGTGGCGGCTCCTCAAAAGATGGCGCTACCAGCGTTGCGCTTACAATGTATGTAGCCTACATCGCGCAAGGGAAATTCGTCGGAAAGAAACAAACCAACATCAGCTACCATCACCCAGCTCGGAGGAAGATTCCTCCAAGTGTTTTACTTAGTTATATGATTAAATTTTATTAATCGGCGGCTAATGAGTCTTTCTTAAATATGTGTATCAGTAGCGACCAGATGCGAATTCTGTTAAATATTACTTATTTGATTCTCTAACCAACGAATTAGGAATGATATGAAAGCATTAGTTTCTAACAAAGGCCATTAAAAGATGGGACCAATCTCATACAGCTAAACATCCATTCTAACGCGACACGCATACAGGCAAAATAAAATACTTTTACAAATCAAATATCTGCAAAATGAATCCGGCTATCCATTCATTAGGTAAGATAATGTTAAACGAAGATCCGAACCAATCCCGTGATCGTTGTGTTGATCGCAGTTTGCGTGGTACGACTTTTTAGCGCAGTTCGTATTCCATAACATTAGTAATTCGTTAACTCTCACATATAAAAGTAATAATACTTACGTGGCCAGAAGCTTCTGCTTCAGCTTCCTAGCTTTCTTCTTAACCGCTTTCTGTCTCTCTCTGTCTCTTCTCTCCTGCTCTAACCTTTCAGCTTGCTCAGCTAACTCCCTCTCTTCTTTACTGCCTTGGTCTTGGCTTTCTGATGTAGTCTGATGTAAAAGAAAAGGTTGGTTTAAAATATATATTGTTTTAATTAAATGCTATTTCCTCTAACTATATTGTGTTTTATAAAATTTTCTGAAGTTAAAGTACAAGTTACTTCTCTTTTAGCCTCACTAAAAAATTTAAATAAACATACATACCTACAGAAAACAAGAATTACATAAAACAAAGAAAATAGAAAAAAATATACGTAGCCTTCCTCGTTACTTATGGCTTGTCGTTGTCAAGTTGTATAATTAATAGGCAATAGGGATGATGACTATTTTCTTTTTCTTCGTTTATCAGGTAGATTATCAAAAAGTATTGGACACGTATTTTTTCTTTTTTCACATAATATAAACATTGCAGAGATATATTGATTTGAAAAGCCGCATGACGTCACGTTTGAGTACACTTATAAGTGAAAATTCACTCAAAAGTGACGTCAAGAGCCCCTACTCCCAAACTTTGACGCGCTATAACTTGCATTTTTTGGTTGATTGCCCAAAGAAAAAATACGTGTCCATTATTTTTTGATCATATAACTGACGGACTAAATAGAATTTCGTTTACTGTACCCCGTCATCACCCGTATTATAAACTTAGAGTGTAGTTTCCCTGATGGCCTGCAGATGGGACTCCATTCATTGTTTGCTCACGCCTGTTCCAGCACATTATGATGATGATTATAAGCCTTAAGTTTAGAGTCATAGAGTACAGTTTCCCTGATGGCCTGCAGATGGGACTCCATTCATTGTTTGCTCACGTCCTGTTCCAGTACATTATGATGATGATTATAAGCCTTAAGTTTAGAGTCATAGAGTACAGTTTCCCTGATGGCCTGCAGATGGGACTCCATTCGTTGTTGGTTCGCTTCCTGTTCCAGCACATTATGATGATGATTATAAGCCTTAAGTTTAGAGTCATAGAGTACAGTTTCCCTGATGGCCTGCAGATGGGACTCCATTCATTGTTTGCTCACGTCCTGTTCCAGCACATTATGATGATGATTATAAGCCTTAAGTTTAGAGTCATAGAGTACAGTTTCCCTGATGGCCTGCAGATGGGACTCCATTCATTGTTTATTCACACCTGTTCCAGCACATTATGATGATGATTATAAGCCTTAAATTTAGAGTCATTGAGTACAGTTTCCCTGATGGCCTGCAGATGGGACTCCATTCATTGTTTGTTCTCGCCTGTTCCAGCACATTATGATGATGATTATAAGCCTTAAGTTGAGAGTCATAGAGTACAATTTCGCTTACCGCCTGCCTCGGCCCCGTGGCCTTCTCCCTGAGGGCCTGCAGATGTGACTTCAGTCGTTGTTGGCTCGCGTCCTGTTTGTCTCTGGTCCGGCACATTATGACGGTGATTATAAGCCTTAAGTTTAGAGTCATAGAGTACAGTTTCGCTTACCGCCTGCCTCGGCCCCGTGGCCTTCTCCCTGATGGCCTGCAGATGTGACTCCAGTCGTTGTTGGCTCGCGTCTTGTTTGTCTCTGATTCGGGATCGTAATGCGTCGGCTTCTAATTCGGCCGCGGCAGCGAGAGCTGATAGACGGGATTTCACGCCTTCCGCCTGTTTGGATAAAAGGGCTATTCATTAAATAACGTAAAACTATTTAAGGGGCGGAGGTCGCCATGTCTTTTTTTCTTACAAGGGGTGGGAGGGAGTCTGGATCATAATCATAATCATCATTTACCATCAGCCTATTAATATCCACACTGCTGGGGCACAGGCCTTCACGCGGGCCCAGTGCGGATTGGGGGGTGCTAACAACTGCAGATGTAGCCGGGACCGACGGCTAAACGTGCCTTCCGAAGCACGGAGGAACTCGAGGTAGAAGAATTTTGGTCACCCATCCAATGACCAACCACTGCGAAAGTTACTTAAGTTCTACGATCGCAGCCGAACGCGCTCACCACCTGCGCCATCGAGTCTGGATAGTTCTTCCGTAAGATCACGAAAATGCGCAAAGGAAAATTACACTTTGAAAAAGTGCGGGCAACCACGCGAATGCGTGTAGGTAAACTATTTCCATGGCAACGGACCCGCGTATTTATTTTATTTAGTTTTTAGTATTTCAATAGAAAGAATCTGTGAACATTTTAACTGTCCAGCTATCACGGTGCATGACTAGTGACAGACAGACAAACAGATAGGCGGACAGCGAACTCTTTATAATAGGGTCCCATTTTTACCCTTCGGTTACGGAACCCTAACAATCGGCGAGGTTCGTACTTTTTATTATGTTTTCAAAATTAATGCTCAGGAAGCAAATAGCATAATACTAAAAAAAATATCACAAATACTGCAAAATATACAGACCACTTGCTTTTTCGGATTATTATTTAATAGAAAGAGAATAAATTAAAACAAATAATTTTCAAAGACTTTTTCTGCCCGCTCAGCACGTTAACAGTTAAATTTCATAGACTTTTTCTACCCGCTTATTACGTTAACAATGGATTTCCATACACTTTTCCAGCTCGCTTAATAAAACAACAGTAATGATGACCTTTGTTGCTTCTTTATTTAAGAATATGACACTTTCCTAGCATGTATAGTATAAAAAATATTACTATGTTAAATACGATATAACTATACCTTTTCCCTGGCAGCGTCATGTCTTTCTTGCCTCCGTATTTGGTCCAGAGTATCTCGTCTGGCATCTCTCAGTCTTCGTCGTTCTAGAAGAGCTTCTACTCTCCTTCTTCTAGCGGCTTCTAGAGCCATCCTGCGGGCTCCTACTGCCGCTTCCCGGGCTGCCTTTTGTTCCTGTTAAACGTTAATTGAAATCATATTTGGTAATTCGTAACGAATTCAAAATTATTAGCGAGCTAATTAAAAAATAAGATTAACATAGTGAGAGAAATCTAAATGACAAATCATGTAACTTTAGTTATTTTAAACGACGATTCATCAGCATTAAAAACTCACACCTATTTAAATTAATTTAATAGCTCCTAGCTTATAAAGAAGTGGTGCCTTCGATTCTCAGATTAAAGCTTACTTTTAGGTTTAGATAGGAGTGTCGGATTCTGGCACTGATGTTAAAGGACATGGCTAAGAACGTTTTGAGAACTGCCCTTAACGTTTATAATTATTTTGCACTAGCCCGTAACTTTATAATATTTTTTTATTAATTATTACGTGTTTAAATTCTCATACAACTTTAGTGAAATAATCAAATATTTAAAATTAAAAGTATAAAAATTTACTTCATGTCTATTTCAAAAGGAAAATGTTCCGTTTTACAAAAATAAATGAACAATAAATGTATACTAAAAAATATTTCTGACAGCATATCAAAATAAACAATATTAATTCAAAACTTCCAAAAACTATGACATACTTGTCCCTTATTTTTATTATAACCAATCACTGAAGGCCTAAAATAATAGATTTTATTTTTCTGATCATGCTTGAAAGAAGGCTGTATGATAAATTTATGCAAATGTACAAAATAAACGTCACAGATTTAATGTCAGGCCGACGACAGCAAAATATTTGAATTTAGTTTTACTTTTAAAAATACTTTTTGTGAAGTGTTAATTAGATAAATGGGAGGAAATATTCTAAGACAATGCGAAATGGCTCTGTAAATAATTGGCAACATCTTTTATCAAATGTAGCAAGGTAATGACGTCGTAGGAGAACTCATAATTTTCAAGATTGTGACTTTATCAAAAGTTCCTGAGCCCTTTTCATAGAAATTATAAATTTTCAGCCATTCTGCATTATATATTACTAAGTACAATATTTCTACATTGCTAGGGCAGTCGCTTATACAAAATTTTACCAAGTCCTTTAGTTTTAAGTTTATAGAATCATGCCAGAATCGACACTTGTATTTTGGGCAAAGCCAAGGCTTTGCAAAATTTTGAAGGTGAGCCCTTTTTTGACTGGACTATAGAGAATCCTCCTAGAATAGGACTAACCTTCCTTTAATACTTGAAACTCACCAATTTAGTCAATCTCTCTCGCCATATCCATGCCAGATTTGTTTTAGATTAAGAGTCTTGCTAAGATAAGCCCCAATTTACATGAAACTCACCAATTTAGTCAATCTGTCCCGCCTCATCTGCCAGCTTAGTTTTAGGTTTAGAGATTCTTGCTAACATCAGGCCCCGTCTACTAGAAACTCACCAATTTAGTCAATCTCTTCCGCCTGATCTGCAAGCTTAGTTTTTGGTTTAGATAACCTTGATAAGGTCAGACCCAATCTACTTGAAACTCACCAATTTAGTTAATCTGTCCCGCTTCATCTGCCAGCTTAGTTTAGGTTCAGAGAATCTTGCTAACATCAGACCCAGTCTACTAGAAACTCACCAATTTAGTCAATTTCTCCCGCCTCATCTGCCAGCTGAGTTTAAGGTTCAGAATCTTGCCAGAATTGAGCCCAATGTACTTGAAACACGCCAGTTTTATAGTAGTATCATTTATAGCAATATTAGGTTTTATCTGAGTAGAATGTTGCCAGTGTATTTGAAACTCTCTCTCGCCTCATCTGACAGCCTAATGTACTTGAAACTCGCCAGTTTTACAGAAGTATTAGTTTTATAGCAAGTTTTATAGGTTCAATCTCGCTAGAATGTTGCCAATCTACTTGAAACTCACCAATTTAGTCAACCTCTCACGCCTCATCTGCCGCAGTCGAGTGGTGTGAGATCGGCATTGGTCCAGAAAGTCGTGCCTTCGATTCTCGGCCTCAAGTTGTTTAATGAACGCTATTTCTCGGAGCTTCTCTTCTTCGTCATGGGCTTTGCGGACTATGTCCTAATAGAATAAAAGAAAAGAATCTATATATATATAAAAATAAATTGCTGTTCGTTAGTCTCACTCGTAAAACTCGAGAACTCGGCTGAACGGATTGTTTTATCTTGGTCTTGAAATGTTCGTGGAGGTCTAGGGAAGGTTTAAAAGGTGAGAAAAAATTCGAATAATTGCGAGGAAGATAGGAAAAAATACAATTTCATTTATCCATATAAACCAAATTATTATAAGCAGTGTGAAGTACGCTGGGTCAACTAGTAAGGGTTTTTTTTATTCACATATTTTGTATACACTACATGCAAAAGTTAATTAATGATACATGTACAAAGGCATAGCTTATTTCACTCTGAAATTTATTTATTATAGCATACTCTTCAAAACTATAAAACATAACTACATAATGGATCAAAGATATAAATTAAGCCCCGACTTCCAAAAATACTTTAAAAATCAAACTAATGTATTTATTGGAGCTACAGTCTGTTAATAGTCATAAAATAATGATTGAGACACTTATGGTTTTACTGGTACTGGCAACACTAAATTACTGTCATTTTTTTTTTATATATATATATATATATATAATTTATTCATGACCATGGATACAAGTCCTTCAGTCGTATACATAAATACAAATCTTAATCTTCTTTTTTTTGTTACATTAGAATGTCGGTGTGACGCATTCTATTGTTTCTCGGAGTGTTTGGCACGAAATGTATTGAGTTGGTTTTTACGATAAGCTTCTGTGAGGTAGTCAACACTAGAATAAAGTTCTCACGTCCACTTGACCGGAATAGCGTATATTTTAAAGATTCCACTAATTCTTCAGTTGCGCAGATGGTTGTAACACAAAACCACACCAATTTTATTTCACAATATCCACTATGAACGAATTTAATAATAATTAAAATAAGACGCCAACCACACTCGATGAAATCCCGCCAAAAACTCCAATTACTGTCAAATAATTTAGTGTTGCCAGTCAGTAATCAGTTGTCATATGGTGGCTATGTCTCTTGTAATTTTGTTTTTTAAGTAATATTTCGAGTTATTTTTTGATGTGACTGTTTCGAAATATAAAATGAAAGGGACTGTTTATAAGAACGGTGCGAGGCATATACGCGTATTATTAATGTATAATATTGATTGGTCTCCATCACCACAAGGTTTTAAATGTATAAACAAACATCTTCCAAGTCACTAGTTCTTCGCCATTAGAAGAGTCTTAGGATGTTTTCTCATTCCAAAATATCACAAAACATACCTTCAAATGTTGATCTCGATTCTCGGCCGCTTTTTGCAGCCTTTTCTCCATCCTTAGCCTTTTCTCTTCGATTAGTTGGTTTTTGGCGATCTGTTGAGAAGTAATATTTATTTATTCATTAAAATATCAGATTGAAATTGAAAAATAACTTATAACACATACTGTAACAAACGAATTAAAAATAATATAAAACTAGTTTTAACGGGTGAATGCACGAAATTTTATTTATTTATTGATTAAAACTAGTTTTATTAAATGAGTGATGTGCGTGAAAACCTAAGAAACAAATAGAAATAATATGTAAAACGAACTGCGCTAAAAAGTGCTTCTACTCAAACTGCGATCAAGTAGGCGTGGCAAAAAAAAAGCGATATATATCCGATCATGGGATTGGTTGGAATTTCTGTTTAACATTATCTTACCCAATGAATGGATAGCTGAATTCATAGGGCTATACTTGATTATTTTGTTTTGTTTTGTGTGCGTGTCGTGTTAGTATTAAAGTTCAGTTGTATGTGTTTGGAACCATGTTTTAGCGACCTTTATTAGGCAGTAATGTTTCCATATCATTTCACTTGATCGCAGTTTACCTGTAACCAAATTAAATCGTAGTTCATAATTTTTAACATATCTAAATCGTTGTCTGTAATATTGGACCGGACAGTTATTTTTCGCAATAAAAAAATCCTTTAACTCGACTACAGCGCCATCTATCGAATAGAGTTGTAAGTTATGTCTACCCATTCTACCTGTTCCCCTGGCCAGGCACCTTAACTTCCTCGACCCTAAACAGCAGTTGATGGATATTCCTGATCCTATCAGTCTGGTAGTCCATCCGTTATCTCTCATCCCTCGCTTGTTTGTCTTATAACCAGTACCCTTAGCATGAACCAATATCGAATTCTAATGTTTGCGAGTGCGAAATGTCAATGTTATATTTTGTATGAAAACTTGAACAGCAGCGTCACAACGGACATAACGAGAACTAAAAATCAGTACACATTTGACAATGGCATTTCGGACTCGCAAACGTTTCGACTTCGATATTAATTCGTGCTAAGGGTACAGTATATGCTTTCTATACGTAACCGTACAGTATATGTATTCTATCCGTTACCCTAGTATCCTTTAACACAAGCCTTACAGTGCTAACTTTGGGGCTAAGCTAATTGGTGTGTAGCATAAAAAAAAACTGTAGGACTATTCGCTAACTGCTTTTGACAGATGGAATGGATGGATGGATGGATGGATGGAGGATGGATTTTATTATAACGTCACTACGAAAATTGTTCTGAAAAACATCGATGGATATGCAACTTTCTCTTTAGTTATACACTATAAATGTCAAAAAAGTTAGCAAATAGTACGGCTGTTCCCCTGGCTTCTCACCTTAACTTCCTCGACCCTGGCCAGCAGTTGATGGATCTTTCTGGCCCTCTCGGTCTGGTATTCAGTCCGTTGTCTCTCAGCCCGCGCTTGCTTCGCTTGTAATCTTCTTAGAGCGTCTTGTAAGCTGCCTCTACGCTTTATGCCTTGCGATAGTTTTGCGTGAAGTTGTTGAGCACGACCTATGGAGGTATATACAGGGTTAATTTTAAAACATCAACAACCTCTTAGGGGGTGGTTCTACCCATAAACAGGAACCACTTTTATTATGATACGCTGGGTCCGTTATCACCCACACAATCCGCACTGGGTTCATTGTCACTCACCAATCCTCACTGGGTTCTTTGTCACTCACCAATCCGCACTGGGCCCGCTATCACCCACCAATCCGCACTGGGTCCATTGTCACCCAACATTTCGCGCTGGGTCCGTTATCACCCACCAATCCGCACTGGGTCTGTTATCACCCACCAATCCGCACTGGGTTCTTTGTGGCTCACCAATCCGCGTTAGGTCCGTTATCACCCACCAATCCGCACTGGGTCTGTTATCACCCACCAATCCGCACTGGGTCCATTGTCGCCCACCATTTCACGCTGGGTCCGTTATCACCCACCAATCCGCACTGGGTCGGTTATCACCCACCAATCAGAAAAAGAAATAGCGAAAAAAAACTGCTGTTTCATACAAAAAGGGCATCAGCTAATCGACCGAAATGTATGAAACATCTGTTTTTTTTCGCGATTTCAGAGTTGGTCCCATAGTAAAAGATGATCCTGTTGATGGGTAGAATCACCCCCTAAGAGGTTGTTGGTGTTTTAAAATTAACCCTGTATAATTTAATGTAGCTATAGAGTTTAAAAATCTAACATTATGTATGTGTAGCAGTGATGTAACGATTATCCGCATCCGCATTCGCGAATATTCGCATATTTTTGAATATTCGCATTCACATTCGCATTCGCAAAATCTCTGCGAATGTTTTGCGAATATGAATATAAAAAAAAACAATTTGAATAAGTTGCAGTTCTTCCTTTTTTTGAATATTCATTGTTACACAGCTTGCATTTAGCTCGTTCAGCATCGCAAAATGTGAAATAAGTCCATATTTCACTAGAATATGATTTACTCATGTTAATCAATCACTATTCAAACTCTAACCTCAAAATTCACTTGTTTTGTTTACGAAAAGACCGGCGCGAGCGGAATGACACTTCAGTCGGATGAGTTCATATCAACTCGGCAATTCGAACGAGACTGCCACCATGCAATAGACAATTGGCGCCAATTTTGAACAAAATCATATATATTCGTATTCGCGAATGTCGGTACCAGATATTCGCATCCGCATTCGCATTCGCGAATGTTCAAAAAATTACATTCGTTACATCACTAATGTTTAGGGTTGCAACGATATAATATAACAAGGAATCGGTAATATCGATGTATTAAATTCATGAATATCGAAAAACCCTTAATATTGTTATTCATTAATAAACAGCTAATGTTACGGTTCCAAAGGATACTGGAAATATCGATATATATCGCTTTGACATGGTCGATATATCGGAAATCAATATTTATCTGACTTAGACATATTTGTCGTTATTGCAAAAAACTGCATAAGTACTCTTTGCAAAGCTATAAAATACGTACTGACAACATTAATAATATCGCGTAAGCATGGTCGATTTATCGGGTATCAATATTAACCCTACCCTAATCTATTCTTATCGATATTTCCAAAGACATTGCATCCAAATGTATGTGTGACTTATGACCGGGACAATCTTTTCTTAGTTTAAGACTATTCTTTTTTATATTTTTTACTAGGGATAACAAACAATCACACTAATATTATAAAGGCGAAAGTTTGTGAGTATGTGAGTGTGTATGTTTGTTACTTCTTCACGTCTAAACGGCTGGAGCGATTTTAATAAAATTTGGTATGGAGTTAGCTGACACCCTAGATTAAGAGATAGGCTACTTTTATCCAAAAAAAAATTTTAGATTCCAGAGGTATTTTCAAGAAACTAAGTTAACGCAGACGAAGTCGCGGGCGACCTCTAGTTGTACAATATATGTTAAGTAAAGGCTTACAATTATGTTGATTAATACTAGGATTGTTTTGATTTCACAGGTAAATAAATCTTATACTAAAAAAAAAATAAGTTGTACATTACACAAATAAGTATCAATAGAAACTTTTGTTTCCTTGTCCTTGTCGAGGAGTACCAAGGTAATTCACCTATTATGATAAAAGATCATACACTTTGGTTTTGAAAGAAGTGTCTGAGAGCAAGAAAATATCAATATCATGTGAACTCAAACTATCATTAAAATTATTGTAAACTAGCTGACCCGGCGAACTTCGTACCGCCTTAGCGTAGCTTTGATGCACTACTTTATTTTGTATAGCTGACCTGATATTTTTAGCGCGGTTATGGATGTGTTGTCACAGATTACCACAGATTTTTTTGTATTAAATTGAATGACGTTGACATTTGTCAGCGCGGTTATCGATGTGGTGTCACAGATTACCACAGATTTTTTGTTTTAAATTGAATGACGTTGACATTCGTTACGTTATATTTTTCAATCTTTCTGAGAGATTTTCTTTATATTTTTTTCTGTAAGAACCTTGTACAGAGTATTAGAAAACTACAAAAAAAAATCAGACAAATCGGTCAAGCCGTTTTCATGTTATGTCGTGACAACGGAAAACGGGTTTCATTTTTATATATATAGATTACTGTTGTAAGTAGTCATTTTAATTAACTTACCGGGATCTCTAGCCACGAGAGCCTCCAATACCCCCAAAGTATCGACGCGTTCGGCCCAAGACATTCCGGCGAGGGCTGTCTCGTACCGATCCTCGAGACTGGCGACTAGAGTGCCCGTACAAACGTCCACGCGGACGGGGTCCTCGCACAATATCTCTGCGTCGGTCTGTATGGTAATAGAAAAGAACTGGGTTAAGCTACCTTAGTACGAGTTTGAGCTCACGAAAATATATCTAATATCATAGTTTTCGTAATTGTAAATTATGTTTCTATGTCCATTTTGGTAAAAAGTAACCAAATATATTTATGCTTTTATTTATTTTTAAGCATTTAACTGCTAGATGTTAAAATCTAAAGAAAAGTTTACTAGAAAAAAATCCACGCGGACCAGGCAGCTGACGGGACTCGAACCCGCACCTTTGGCAATCCGGGCGAATGCACTGACCATTATGCTACCACGGCCCTATTCGCCGCGTTGAAACCAAATATATTACAAGTTTAAGAAAACGCAAATGATTTAATGATATAATTTAAACACTGTTTATTTGTATTGAAACGAAAACAATAAAATCAGTACCCTTATATGAGTGCGAGCTCAGGAAAACTATCACAGTTTTCGTAATTGTAAAACTCGTATTAAGGAACAAAGATTTCCTTTGTTCGAGAGGAAATTTTAAATTTTGCGTGTGACAGAAAAGAGGATTATCTGTACCCCTAGCACGAACCAATATCGAATTCGTATCGTTTGCGAGTTCGAAATGTCATTGTCAAATGTGTACTGATTTTTAGTTCTCGTTATGTACTTTGTGCCGCTGCTGTTCAAGTTTCCATACAAAATTTGACATTGACGTTTCGTTTTGCAAACTATTCGAATTCGATAATGGTTCGTGCTACGGGTACTGTACCCTTAGCAAGAACCAAATTCGAAGTCGATCTCGACAAGCATCAAATGTGAAGAAATTTTATACACAGGATTTTTAATTCTCGTCACATCCGTTGTGGCGCTGTTGAAATTTTGCCGCGAATTGATATTCAACTATTCAAATTCGATATTGATTCGTAATGAAGTAGGATAACAAGCGATTGGGAAGTCTGAAATGTCTCTGGAATCACCGTGTATTTGATATTGAAAAAATTAAAAGATTTAAAACTGGATACGCGTACAAGGATTCCTACCACATTCCCTTTACAGTATTGAAGATTATCACAAAAACATATGTATGAATATTTTTCTAATGCCTTCACTCACCTCAGTGTCGTCAGTTTCAGTATCCAATTCCACATCCGACACTTGCTGCAACTCCATGATTTGTCTGTTCAATAAATCTTCTTCTTCAGACAACTTCCTCTGATCCACTTCAGATTGGAAATCGAGAGCCCAGCCTAGCTTCTTCTCGTTTTCTTCTATTTGAGATGTCATCTCAGCTATCTCTGATCTCTCGGAAGGATCGGCAGACTCCAATATCTCGTCGTGATTCAGAATGATTTGATCATCATCATCCAAATACTTGAAGGTAGATTTAAACTCCGCTTTCCATTTGTCGAAATCGAAAGCATCTTCGGTGCTTTCTTGTGATCTAGCTAATCCCGTAGTCAAGCTTTCTAAAGAAGAATGCAGTCTGTTTTTTGTCAAATCAGACGAGTCTTCGTTTGCGAGCTTCCCGCCTTTCTGCTTTTCAGATTTCTTCAAAGCTTTAGTGCGAGAAGATCTCGTTTTTAAACCTGTCACATCCGATTTCTGTCGTATCATAGACGGGTCTTTAGTTTTAGCTTTGAGAGCAATACTTCCAGAAACTTTAACTGTTTTCTCTGGTTTTTCGCTCTTGATCAGTTTGACTGGTTCGTCGAGTTGTTCAGCGTTATTTACTTCTTTGAATGCATCGAGAGTATCAGTTTTCACAGGCACAGCAGTAACTTGTGGCTGCTCAGACTTAGCTCTATCTGATTTGGCATGTTTAGGAGAATCTACGATTGGCTTTGATTCCTGTTTAGGAGATTCTAACATATTTAATGTTGGCAGACTTGTCGTGGCCGAAGGCTGGTGGAATCTTTGAGACCAATGGGACTTGGATTGTTTCTTTGATTCCCTACTTAACCGTCTTGACTTCACAGTCAACCAGCCTTCGTTATCACTTTTATTATTATCTACGTTTAGTACTTCTATGGAATTAGCAACATCTTGCATCATCTGTAAATCGTCTGGCACTAACGTTTTCAAACTTTCACTTGATTCGATTCGAGACATGTCTATCTGTGTGACTATCGTGTCTGTACTACTATACTCTTCACAGTCTTTTATATTTTCTAGGGACGGTTTTAGTTTGTCTTTGCTGCTTACTTTGTCGTTTACTTTTAAAGTTGTAGGTCTTGGCGGATGTTTTTTTGTATCGAGTTTAGTCTGACTAGATTTACAATCACCAGCTGCCATTTGAATATTTTTATTTATGGTCTTCTTTACTTGAACATTCTTATTTTGCGTTGTAGAAGAATCAAATAGACTAGTTCTACCCGTAGTGAGATTAAATGGATAGCTGCATTTGTTAACTAGATTTTTCTTCGGAAATTGTCTTTGCTGTTTCGGAGCACTAGACGGTCTGATTTCAACGACAGTTTTACTTCTAATCAAAGTGGTTTTAGTCGGAGTTCTAACTTCACTTTTCGCTGGAGTAGCTGGTTTTGGTTTGGCAGCTGCCTGAGAGTATGCAGGTCTAACATTAGGTTTGGCCTCTGGATTCGCTTTATCTTTAATAACACAATTATCTTTTTTGATGTCGATGTCTTTTTTAGAGTCATCTTTATCATCATTACTTTCTGCGTGTTTCAAATCTTTTGAGAAATTATTTTTATTTGTATTACCATCGTTACTAGACTGTTCTTTAGATTCTTGGGAAATATTTTTTATGGATTCTTTTGATGTTTGTATCGGCTTACTTTTTGGTACTTCAATTTGGTCACTTAAATAATGTTTCACATCAGATATTTTTCCTTCTGTAAATTTAGAGCTCTCGTTAGAAATATCAGCAAAATTATCTTCTGATTTAGTGGGAGATTCAGAAGTATTACTCTCTTTATCACCTGTTTCTGCGGATTTCTCTTGTCCTTTTTCGGCCTTAGTTTCGGAAGTTTCTAAGCTATTAGAAATATCAACATTATTTTTTTCAATTGCTCTTTCAATGTCTTTATCGTGGTTTAACATGTTTTCATTTTTAATTATATTCTGTGATAACTGCTTATTTATAAAATCACTTTCCATTGCATCTAATTTTGCTGTTATATCTTGAGCGTGACTGACGCTATTGCTTACAGTATCTGGGCCATTCACAGTATTTTCTGCATCCTTTTTCGAATGTTTTGTAGATTTAATAACAACTTGTTGGGGGCTAGCTTGAGGACATTCTTTAGCTGTACCTATTTCTATCTCAGATGCCACCTTAGCATCTTCGTTGACATCATTTTTAGGCTGTTGATTGTCAACAATTTCTTCACAACATTCTTTGATTTCTTTCTCAGTTATATCTGATAGCCTAGACGTCTCTTTAGCCAATTTAGGCTCAGGCTTAGCTGTTACTTTAGAAGCTGATATTTTACTACTAAAGAATTCAATATTGGCTTTTGGACTAGTGCTGGAATGGCTGGAAGACACTCTCGGACTAATTTTACCACTACCTGGGCTAGCTTTTCCAGTTAGATTGGGGCTGTTTTTTCCGCTTGGCGTGTTATGGCCAGAGAAACAAGGGCTGTTTTTTCCGGAAACTGAAGGGGAACTCTTCACAGAATGAGCGCGCCTAGATTCTGGTCGGACAAAGTCCGTTTTCCTTATCTCCCAAGCTAGGCTTTGCGGCCGCTGCGGTGGCGGTGTATTGTCATATTCCCATTTAAGCCTGAACCATTCTCCCAAAGCTTTAAAATCACGGGTATAATTTTCTAAGACTAGTATAACTTCTTGGCACTCATTTAGATTCTCGTGAGCTTCCACAGTATTATAGATTTCACCAATCTGAAACAGATAAAAAAAATTTGCTTATTACAAAATGTACTTAACAATTTGTATGTATTGTGGCGGCGACATCTATATGCCCCACATATATACAACGGATGGAGGAAATCATTACTCACCATCCTCAAGAGATGGCGTTACCTGCACTGAGATCTTAATAGTATGGAAGCCTACATCGCGCAAATGAAATTCGGAGGCTAACTCTTCATATATACGATGCCCGACTATATTAGTCGAGCCGCGGCCCCCGAGCTAACATCACGCAGCTCGGAGGATGATCTTCCCCTTTGGCCTTCCTAAAGTATTACACTAAGTTTAAGAAAAAGAAAAGGCATTGCAGAAATTCTGCCTGAATTGTAGCGCCAGGGGAAGTAACATTCGCCCTTAAGGACAGTCATCATCGTCATCATCAGCCTATTATTGTCCCCACTGCTGGGGCACAGGCCTTCCCTATGGATGTAATAGGGAGATTGGGCCATGACCCACCACGAGGGCCCAGTGCGGATTGGCGGGTGCTAACTGCAGATGCAGCCGGGACCAACGGATAAACGTACCTTCCGAAGCACGGAGGCACTCAAGATAGAAGATTTTAGGTCACCCATCCAATGACCGACCACTGCGAAAGTCGCTTAACTTCAACGATCGCAACCGAACGCGCCATCGAGCAGTAATTACAGTCAAATAACTTTTATAACGGTAAATAACACTTTCGCTGGTGATGTGTTTCTGTAGGTACGTAAGGTTTCTAGGGATCCACAGGGCAGGGGATTCGGTCAGCGTAGCTAACGTACGAGCAATTCCCTGGTGTCGCAAGCGTCCATAATCGTTTACCATGACGACACTCATACACTTTTAACCCCCTACGTCAGATGTAGGAAGTGACTTTATAATTAGTCGTGTGTCTGATTTTTATGTGGTTATACAATTATTTGATAATTCTTCACAGCAATGGTTCTTTCTTAAGTATAATACAGGCCAGAATACAAAAACTATAGCCTTAATTGAAGCGAAGTAAAAGCGAGTCACTAGTATACAATATACAAACATAATTTCATGGCACAATGTATGTTACTGATGCGCTTACGCAGAGAAGGCTCACAACAAATAGTCACACAGTTTTAAGTTAAATTATTCGCGACACGTTTTGTCATAATCAATAGCAATATGTTTCGATAATTGTTTTCAAGATTATGATTTAAGTGTGTGTATGTGTGTGGTAGCTATAAGTTCAATCTAGGTATATTGTTTTAAACTTTTATGGTCACTAACATTATATTTACTAGCGCGATTGCTACCATGTTACGATCTCCGTGGCCGAGTGGTTTGTAGGCCGGGATTCAAGGTGTCGGCTACTCGAGAGGTCCAGGTTCGAATCCAAGTGGGGGCAGATGTTTGTGTGATGAATACGAGCGTTTGTACTCCATTCATGGATGTTTAATATGTATATCTATATAAATATTCTTATATATGTACAATATATGTATTCTATCCGTTACCCTAGTATCCCATAACACAAGCCTTACAGTGCTTACTTTGGGGCTAGGCTATTTGGTGTGAGTGTTGGAAACATGTATGTATTCTATCCGCCACCCTAGTATCCCTTAACAGAAACCTAGAGTGCTTACTTTGGTGCTAAGATAATTGGTGTGTGTTGGAACTATTATTTATTTATGTAAGACTTCGTCGGGGGGTAGACCGATATGTCTACCAATAACATCCTACCCGCTTTTACTTCAGTTACTCCGTGATCATGGCGCTTGCAACAGTGTCAAAATATCGGAGACTCACAAAAATCAGATTACCTGGTAATCCCGCTAATAACTATAAAGTTCAATCTACTCACTGCTCTCTGTAGGTCGCCGAACAGAAGAGCCCAATATCTCGCTCGCAGCTCGGACCGTTTGTCGCGGCCGGCGGAGGCGGAGCGGCGCGCCGCGCGTGGCGGAGCCCTGCGTATCACCGGCCCGCCGAGGCAGCGCGGCGGCTTGCGGGATATTCGCGCTGCAACATATCCTCATCATCAGCCTATTAAGAGCGTGCGCTTCGTTAAGCGGGAGCACGAAGCAGGCGTCCACTCGGCGTGTTTGTTTCATGTAATTTCATAGAACGGCGCTGCGCGAGGCGGGTCTCCCGCGCCACGCTATTTAATGAAATGACATAAGAACTGCATGCGAAGCGTGAATATTGAATACTTTAGTAGTAAAATAACAGCTAAGCCTGAGCCTAAACTAGCTATAGAGACTTCTAGACTATCAGATATAACTAAGAATGACTTCGAAGAATGTTGGGAAGAAATTTTTGACAATCTACAGCCCGAAAATGATGTCAAAAAAGGTGCTAAGATTACATCTGAGATAGGAATAAGTACAGCTAAATAATGTCCTCAAGCTAGGCCTCAACGGCCCGCCAAGGCAGCGCGGCGGCTTGCGGGATATTCGCGCTGCAACAAATCATCATCATCAGCCTATTAGCTAGGGCACAGGGGACATGGAAAGAATTGGGAAAACAGTCCATGACCCAATGATTGGTCAGTGCTAACGACTGCAGATGCAATCGGGACATTGTCGGGATATGATGATGTAACACCACCATATCACACTGGTCCGCCATGGAAGCGCGGGGGCTTGCGAGATATCTTGTGCTACACAAGCAATAATCATAAAAAAACATTTACAAGTCCAGGTGTCACGCAGGATTAGGAGAACGTCCACTATCTGGGCAGATGCACTAAGCACTATGCTACCGAAACCTTCATGACAGTGTAATATACCTTCATCAAATATCTTCTGGTGGTTTTTAGGCTGCAGGGCATCGCCATCTCTTCATACTGTAGGGTAAAGCCAAAGTCAACTCTCGGTAGCATAGCAGTCAGTGCATCAGCCCAAACGGTGGAAGGTATTAGTTGGAATCCTATCCTAGTTTATTAGTAATTTTTTTAATACAAAGGTAAAGTATAGTTATGTTGAAATTCTTAATTAGACTTGAAGACAAGCAAATATTCCATAAAACAGCTTCTATGCTTACCTGGGAACTTTATCAGGGCAAGTAGCAAGTCTATTGTTGAAAAATAAAGCTAGCAAAATGTCAATATTATTATTTCCATGAATGATTTCACATTTAACCATTAACAACTAGCTATTACCTATTTATTAAATTTTTCTTCAATCAATTGATTTATATTATTACTGAATAATAAAAATAATCTACTACCTATTAATTTTATTTTAAAATTATTTCATTCTTTTAATTTCTGTTTTTAAAAGAGTTGCTTTGTTATAAAAATTTCAATTTTGTTTTTAACAATAAATATACAAACTGAGTCTTGCTGAAAAAGATAGTATTTACAGTGTCTGTAACTCAAATAAAAGTAATTATTCACAACTTTAGCTCAACTAAGTTTCACCTACAAAGCTTAGAACCTGGCTCTCCCAGATAGCAATAACAACTTCAATGTTTACTGTAACATTATTTATTGAAGTTATACTTCTTTAGGCGCGTTATGAAAAAATGATGAGAGTGAAATTTTAAGATGCGCGCGCATCACTGTAACACAAAATTTTAACAGCATGAAGTTGGTCGCTTTAGCGACGAACTTCATGCGTTACTTTTGTGTTTACCGCACATTAAGAAAATCTACCAACAAAATAGAAATAGAATCTCTATTTAGTGGGTGCTAACGACTGCATTGTGAAGGCCTATCAAAAGTATTTATTAATCTGGAACAACGGAACCAAAGCGCGATTCAGGAGACTACAACGCCATCTCTTGACCATTGGTGTAGTAGAACCAAAAACCACATCTTTATTTTTTGTAATAAAGTAACAGTCATAGGTATTCATATTTATAATATTTATCCACATGTTTCTAGTTTGTATATTCGGAATACGTGTTTGAGTTTCATACAAGTGCAAATCACATATGTTCTAATAAATTATATTCAGTAGCGATTTTAATTGAATATTTTGATTATTTATTTATTTTTTCAAATTAAAACTGAACTTTATTGACTGTGTCCTTTTCCAGACTTTTTATTAATTTATTGTAATTAATTATTTGCATGCAATTAAAAACTAATTTTAAACGATGCCAAAGAAGGATAACTTCTCACGCGCCTACATAAGTACACGCACCCATTTTTTTTTTAATAGCTGCTACTATCAAGGACCCATTGTCTGATTTCAATGTACCTATGAGTAGATACTGAAATAACAATGGGACAAATGTCTCATAAAAACTGTTTTAAAAGACTTATCTACTATGTTACAATATTTATTATCTTCTGCTTTTTAGGATTAAATAATAGTCAACATTTTAAATTAAAATTGTATAGTAGTTCCTGCATTAATATTTATTTGTAAACAAGGTCTAGAAAAGGCATGAATACAGTGAAGAGATCTGGTAAAGCAGATATAAAAAATGTATATGCAATATCAATTATTTTTTTTTTTTTATAGTTAGGTCCGACAAATGACTCCACCCCACCTGATGTTAAGTGAAGGTGAAGTCCAGACGCGAAGATAGCTGATACAGCAGTTCTACCTGCCACACCAGCCATCCTCACCCTGCCGGCCTGCATGTTGCTTCTTCACGCCTCTTTTAAAGGATCCCAGGTTGTAAGAGGGAGGGAACACGTGAGCGGGCAGAGCATTCCATTTACGGATAGTGCGACAAAGAAATGAGTCACCAAATTTCTTTGTACGCGTTGGAATTGTGGCCACAGTAAGACGGTGACAACGTAGGCCAGCGCGCGTGGTCCTCTGAAGGAAAGGGGAAGGTGGGATAAGAGAGAATAACTCCTCAGAACACTCGCCGTGGTACAAACGATAGAACGCGCTTAGTGACGCCACGTCACGGCGTAATTGAAGAGGCTCAAGGTGTTTAGTCACCTCCTCATCGCCTATGATGCGGATCGCGCGCCGCTGTAACCTATCCAAAGCATCGAGCAAGTACTTGGCGGAGCCATCCCAGAGGTGCGAGCAATATTCCACGCAGGACCGCACGTGCGTTTTGTACAACAAGCACAGTTGATCGGGCGTGAAAAAACGCCGCACCTTGTTCAGGACTCCGAGTTTGCGTGAAGCTGTTTTGATTACGGTTTCGATGTAGTCCTTTGGATTCAGGTCTGAGCGAACTTCCATACCGAGCATGGAAATGTTGCTCTGCAGCGGTAGTGTTGTGCCCTGAAGAGATGGAAGGGGAAGGAATGGCGATGTTTTTGCCGTGAAAGCGCAAGCCTGAGTTTTCTTGGCATTGAACCCAACCAAGTTCCTGGTACCCCATTCGGAAATGTGGTCCAAAGCCTGATTGAGTTCAATGACAAGATTTTCCCGTTTCTCCCTGGTTACTGCCTGCCCAGCCGCTGCTTGTCCGAGATACCCCGCATGCACTGTACTATCGTCTGCATAGCAATGAATATTCCCAAGAGGAATCAAGTCATTGATATGCAGCAGAAAGAGAGTGGGGGATAGGACGGAGCCCTGGGGAACGCCGGCATTCACTGACATGAACCGCGAACTGCTACCATCCGTAAGAACACGAATTCTACGCTCATGCAGGAAGTCAGCTACCCAAGAACAGAACTGGGCTGGCAGACCGTATGCCGGAAGCTTGGAGAGAAGGCTTTTGTGCCAGACCCTGTCGAACGCCTTGGCAATGTCAAGGCTGATAGCCAACGACTCGCCACGCTTGTCGATAGCCTCACCCCAGATATGAGTTAAGTACGCTAGAAGATCACCCGTCGATCGTTTCGGTCTAAATCCATATTGACGATCATTAATCAGGGAGTGATCCTCTAGGTAGCGGGTCAGATGGTTATTAAGGACCTTTTTTAGAACTTTACATAAAACTGAGGTGACTGCTATTGGCCGATAGTTTGCCGGGTCTGAGCGATCCCCTTTTTTGGGCACCGGTTGCACGTTAGCATCTCTCCAAGTCTCCGGCACACGCCCCAAAGAATACGAGCATTGGTACAAGCGCGTGAGCACGGGAGACAACTCCGCTGCACATTTTTTAAGTACTACTGCTGGGATGCCATCAGGTCCACTAGATTTCCGAACGTCGAGTGATTGCAATTCGGCACGAACCTCACGCTGCCTGATTTTAATATCAGGCATCGTTGTGCCACAGTGAGGTAATGATGGTGGCAGTGCATTGCAATCATCGATTCGGGAGTTAGCCGCAAAGAGTTTTGCCAGTAAATCGGCTTTCTCCTGCGGCTTATGAGCTAGTGTTCCGTCTGGGCATCTCAGAGGTGGCAGCGAGGGCTGGCAGAAGTTTTTTTGCACGGCCTTGGCCAAACGCCAGTAGCTACGGGAGCCCGCAGGATGCGTTATAAGTTCCTGGCCAACACGTGCAACACGCTGGGCATCCGCTCTGATGTAAGCCTTCTTACAGGCCTTGGAAGCAGAATTGTAGGCTGCTTTGAGTGAATCGACCCCGGGATCCTTGAGAGCGCGGCCTCTGATCCAAGCACGATATGCCGCTTGCTTACGCGAAGCAGCTTCAGCACAGTCGTGATTGAACCAGAGGTTACGTGTGCCCTTACTGATGAGATCAGAATGAGGAATATAGTATTCCATACCCATTATGATCTCCTCAGTAATGGCAACGGCACTGCCCGATAGGTCCCTGTCACTGAAGCAGCGCTGCTTCCAAGGGACGGACGCAAAGTAATCACGCATACCGTCCCAATCTGCCGACCCATAATGCCAGATACGGCGCTTGACCACTGCTGGACGCGGAGGCTTGGCCTGTGGTGCTTTGGCAGATATCAGGCAGTGGTCGGACGAGCCCAGGGGAGCTCTTACCACAACCTGATAGCCCTGTGGATGGGTCGTGAGCAGAAGGTCCAGTAAAGAAGGCGCTTGACTTGGAATATCTGGGATCCTGGTGGGCTGATCAACCAGTTGCTTCAAGTCATGCGTGAGAGCGAATGTGTGAGCAGAGATCCCTGCATGGTCAGTTTTGGAAGAACTTAACCACAAATTGTAGTGAGCATTAAAGTCCCCCAAAAACACCAATTCTGCATTGGGAAATCGCTCCTGCGCGTCATCTGCTGCCCGACTAAGGTGTTCAAAAAGTCGAGTTGTCTCAACATCGCCGGTGTGGGATCTGTAGAGGCACACTTAGACTCTGGCCCGGGGGCCAGAGTCGACGTGTACCCCCAGCATGGAGAAGGAGGGATCTTCCAAGCAGCGGAGACGGCGACAACAAACATCCGCCCGAACATACAGGCATACACCGGCTTTCGCTTTGAAGGACTCTTCAAGCACGTAGCCGGGATAATTAAGGTAGCCTGTGTCAGCAGGCGGAAGTATTTGTGTCTCCGTCAGGAACAACAATGCTGGCCGTGCTGTCTCGAGATGGTGGTGGACAGCGTTGAGGTTAGAGTGGAGTCCGCGTATGTTGCAGAACTCGACCTCAAACAGCGTTGAAGGCGTGGGGGTGTGCACCGCTGTACGTCCAAACTTTGTTATTGAGGCTGCCATGGTGGAAGTGAAAAAAAAAAAGAGACGCGAAAACGAGCGGACGCCGTCGCGAAGAGTCCGGGCAAATAAGGGGGGTTTGTCTTCCCGATTGACTGCCTGCAGTGGAGATGCGCCGACCCGCCGGACGGAAGGGCCCCCGCACCCCCCCGGGAGTGGCCGCCGGGACCCCACGCCCCGGTGGAGATGCGCCGACCCGCCGGACGGAAGGGCCCCCGCACCCCCCCGGGAGTGGCCGCCGGGACCCCACGCCCCGGTGGAGATGCGCCGACCCGCCGGACGGAAGGGCCCCCGCACCCCCCCGGGAGTGGCCGCCGGGACCCCACGCCCCGGTGGAGATGCGCCGACCCGCCGGACGGACGGGCCCCCGCACCCCCCCGGGAGTGGCCGCCGGGACCCCACGCCCCGGTGGAGATGCGCCGACCCGCCGGACGGAAGGGCCCCCGCACCCCCCCGGGAGTGGCCGCCGGGACCCCACGCCCCGGTCACCAACCGGCACGACGGTCCACCCCGAGATTATGCGTGACATGATGGGGCAGCCTCGTGAACTGGTTAGGAACGCTTGGGCCCCTGTACTGTGCCACGGGCGGCCAGCGGGACAGCCGTTTCTACGGGTCTCCCTGGCCGACGGGTCGATGCAGTCCTCCCGGCATCGGTTCCACGGATGCCTCCCCTGGACCGAATCCTTCGCGACAACTTCCACTCGAGCTCTGGTTGTACGCTGGCTGACCCCGAAACGCGCGAGAAGCACTTCACGGGTTTTTCACCATGCGCACGGTGGTAACAAACCAGGCGGGTGTTAGGCACCCTACCACCAGAAGAGCGGATGGAAGCTCCGACATCCCTTAGTCGCTTCTTACGACACCCACGGGAAGAAAAGGGGCGGTGAGTTGTATTCTTTCTCCGTCACCGCACGGATTGGCATTTAGGCAACATTTGTCACACAGCTTATAGAAACATACCAACACAACAATGAAGTTATCTTACTTGATTACAAATGCTTATAGTTGAATAGCAAAATATTCTATGAGTGGTGCATAGAATATTTTCTACAACAAATAAATAGGTGGAAAGGTATAAAAAAACATGTTTTTTGAATCTTTTAACCATAGCATCAAAATCTGTTGCAATTTAGTGTAAAAAGGTCTGAACTTATAAGCAGCTAATGCACAAGAAGATATTAAAATATTAAGGCTAGCTTAGAAATCACCATGATTTATTGGACTTGATATTTCTTATGAAGTTACCAATACAAATGAGATAATTTCTCCTTAATTACTTAACCACAAAAATTGAGAGTCCTTATTTGTTATCATTGTAGCATTGTCAAAAAGATTTTTGCATTGTCACCAAGTAAAACCAAGTCATCATCATCATCAGCCTATTAATGACTCCACTGCTGGGGCACAGGCCTTCCCTATGGATGGTATAGGGATATTGGGCCATGACCCACCACGCAGGCCCAGTGCGGATTGGTGGGTGCTAACTACTGCAGATGCAGCCGGGACCATGGCTAAACGTGCTTTCCGAAGCACGGAGGAGCTGGAGATAATAATTTTTGATCACCCATCCAATGACCGACTACTGCGAAAGTAGCTTAAGTTCAACAATTGCAGCCAAACGCGCTTACTACTTGCACCATCGAGGTCCTCAAAAACCAAGTGTACGGATAAACTGTACTGTACTGTTCCATGCCTTTTGGATGTAGCAGCACAATGTTAGAAGAAACACCACTAGAGATTTCGTTGCTTTGCACCAGGGTGCATAAAGTTTCAGGAAGAGATAAGGAACCCGAGTTTCTTTATTGGGCTCAATAAGTAGTTTTTTTTTATTTATTTCTTATTTTAGGCCATTTGGTAGTTTTAATCATTAGTTCCAAAAATAAATCTATGCTAAGAATAAAATAAACATGCATGCTGTGTTCATCTTATGAGTTGTACAATAAGGTTTCATAAAGAATATGTATGGTATGTATGATAAATCATAACAATGGTTGAAAAAACAATAAAAAAACTTCCTTTTACCTTTCGTCTTTCTAGTAGGTTCATTTACAATTAAACACACAATAGGACCACATTGTGAACAATAAGAAAATAAAATATAATGATATTATGTCATGTATGGCCAGTCTTTACTAAGAATTTCAACAAATCTATTCTTTACTTTGGTATTGCAAAATTGAAAACCAAACAATTAAATCAGATTACAATGTTGTTTGTCTGTGACAATTTTATCACACTAGGATTGAGAGACTCAAACCATTTACAAGGCAAAACAATAAGAGTTGCAAAAACAACAAACAGACAAGGTGTACGCAGAATTAAAGAATAGTATGACCAATTAATGATTGCATTCAACGCCTACGCCTGTCGACACTCCAACGGTTTATGTAAACAATATTTTTAAAAATTACCTGGTGTGTCGACCGCCACGTGAAATGCTATAAGATTCCTGGCCTCCCTTCCTTCCTCTTGCACCAATTGTCTTACTTCCTCCATCTCCATTCAACGAAAAACACAAATTTTCCAAAGAAAACAAAAGACAAGGTTTGCACTCATCACTTCTAAGAATCTTGTGTTTTGTCTGGCTTATCACTTCACCATGTTAAGAACAACATATACATGTAATAGATATTAATTAAATTCTAGGAAAACGAATGTTATTAATTAAATTTGCGGAATAAAATAAATTTTAAGTAGGTATATGCTAATGTTATTTTCATAACAATTTGCGCCTGACAGAATTGACATACCAATGGTGTTGATTCTGAAAGGTTTAATACCCGTGTCTCCTTTTCATTCTGTATAGAGAATGACAAGGATACACTGTTGTCAAATTTAATTTTATGCTTATAAAATCATGCTAGAATCGAAGCCACTGTCATTTTTTTTAATTGTGTTCACCTTTCGACAGACATAGATTAAGATGTATATGACTATGATGTCGATTCTGCCATGATATTCTAAACCTAAAATTAAATTTGACAACAGTGATTCTGATTTTTAAGTTAAGAGAATCATGACAAAATGGACACCATTGACATAACAGCATTCATTTTTAGGGTCCCGTACTCCGAAGGACAAAGAGAACCTTTATAGGATCACTCTGTCTGTCCGTCTGTCTATGATTTCTTTAAGCAGCTGCGAAAAAACAAAGTTCTAATTGGAAATTACACATTGTTGAATAGTGCTGATTTATTTTACATTACAAATCTGTACATTGAATATTGTATAAATATTATAAAACTAAGTAGCATAAAAAAATGTGTGCGTGTACACTAGTGTACACACGTAAGAAGTGAAACTTCTTTATGGCCTTATTTTTCGAAAAATGATCTACATGCAACTTTCCAGAAATTGGTTAAATGAAGTTAAATTAGATAAAGTTTAAACAAAAGGATTTTATTATCATAGACATGAATACAAATTACTGCCTATGAAACTGTTATGATTACACGGCTCAGTAATCTAAGGCACATGTTCCACCTCCGACGATGAATGATAAGCGAGTAGAAACTAGAAACGAATTGGCAGTCCTGAGTTAAAATGCACGCGCACGGCTTTTGACAGCCAAGCCAGCTTAACCGAGCGAGTATAGCTGAGCGAGTATCGCTGAGCGAGTATCGCTGAGCGAGTATCGCTGAGCGAGTATCGCTGAGCGAGTATCGCTGAGCGAGTATCGCTATGCGAGTTTGGCTGAGCGAGTCTTATCTTTAATGGACGCGTAACCGAATAAAAATGTGACGGTAAATTTTTTTCCAACGCCGATAAAGAAGTTTCACTTCAAAAATCACAAGAAAAAATATTTAATATAGGCATTATTAAATATGCTATGCTCAGCAGTGGGTGTCGTACGGCTGACATGGGTAGCTTTCCAATTACAGCATTATAGCGCATTATGCGGCATAATGCCTAACGTTAAGTGTACCAACTACAGCAACGCTTCGCACAATTGAGCACTCTCAAAAGTAATGCTTTCGTGTGATGCGTGCAATCGTACCAACTCAGAGACAGAAAATTAACAAGTGTTTTTTTCTTTAAGTTGGCATTGATCGAAATGTTTTATTTATATGTTATCGTTAGTAATATTATTTATTGTTGAAAAATTATTAAAACTTTTGTTTCATCATAGTTTTTTTTTAAATAATCAAAGTTAATTCAAACTGTGTTAAAAATTAAATATAAATATGGATGAAAGAACAAACATTGACTTTTTTTTCAACACTGAACTTAGCGCACTCTGCTGGTGCATTTGAAAACTAATTCACGTTCCAATTAAGCATCAGTATAATTCGCCATTGTGCGACACTGAGTCGCATTATGCTCTGTAATTGGAAAGCAAGCATGATGATGATGATGATAGGCATTATTTATATTATCATTTGGCTGTATGGATGAAATTAATTTTCCTTACTACTGGAGAACTTAAAACAATACTCAAAGCAAAAATGATTTCTTTATTTTGTGTTGCGATTGGCTATAATTATTTACATCTTTAAAATGTACTAAATTTCATAAGCAACATTGACGCATAATTTCCATTGGTGGTAAGAATGTCAATTTGACAGTTTAATGACATCATTGGCTTCATTTTTTTTTATTAGCAAATGACTTAGGCCGTATACAGAAAGAAAGCCGAAAGCCGAAAGCCGATCGGCGCTTATCGGCGCCGATTATTCCTACTATTATTAGGAAGCCGATTAAAGCAGATCAAGCAAAATGTCGGACTCATCGGACGATGATTTGGTTTTGTTAGAAAATGTTTATTTAAAAATGCGAAAAACAGCTATACATCCTATAAATAGAGAAAGGAAACGTTTCGGAGAATACCATCATTTATTTGTAAAAAAAAATAAATTTGATGAACAAAGATTTTATACATATACAAGAATGATTCAAGAAACATTTTATTACATTTTGGATTTAGTGAAAAGCCGTTTGATGATAAATTGGTACAATTGGCATAAACAACCAATCCTTCCAGAAGAAAGTTGTTCGCCAAAATGTTGTTCGCTTATACAATAAAGTCCCAAGCAATATCCAAGAGTTAGCCATAAATAAATTTAAAGATATTATAAAAAAAACACTTATTAAAAAAGCTTATTACAAAGTGTCTGATTATATTACAGACAAAAATGCTTGGGTTTGAACTGTTCCAATCATTCCAACAGGTTTTCTATATTAAATAAATCATAATTGTATTAACGTTGTAACAACATAATGATTTGTAAATGTTGTTAAATTAGACTTTTAATGTTGTGGAGTGTTTTTCGCTCGTTTTTCTCCGCAGCTAAAAAATATGTCCATAACGAGTGGTAGGGAAAAAAAATTTTTGGACGATTCAAAAGAGTTGTACTATTCGCTATGTGCACGACAGTAGCGCCACCTACAATGCGCAACTTTCCGGGATTATGCCAAATAATAACATCAGTTTGTATTTTATTGATTTCTAGTAAATATAGTAAGGTAAAGATAAATAAAAATTATTATATATTGTATAATAATTTAAATAATGTCGGATTTCAATTCGGAATTCAGTACAGTCAATAATAACTCTTGTATTGATGTAATCTGGACTGAAACACTTGGGCATTGGTGCTTGTACGGTGGCTCTATTCGGCCAAAAGATTAAATTAGCAGTTGAACAAGCTAGATTTTGTAAGATCGAATAAAATATACGTGAGATTGTGGTTTTTTTGTACACCAAATAACACACTCAATGCTGAAAATGTCAAGCCAGTTTTCATTTTTATCAAAAAAATCAGAAGTCGGTCTTTAGTGGAAACTGTACATTTTCTCATAGTTAATCTTGTTAATAAAAACTCAAAATTGCTAAATGACACACCAGAAGGATCTAGGAGTTCTTGATCATTTGTTATTGATGAAATACCAACAAATTCTTGACTTTTTGTTTCGGTAGATTGATCCTCATACGATTTTTTGTCAGTGCCACAGCTTTTATCTTTCTTTCTTGAATTATTTGTCATTAAAATTCTTGATGTTGGATCGCAGTGATCACTGTAAATTAATCTAATACAAATAAAAGAATAATACATGAATATCACATAAAATATATAGCGCAAATAAAATTGATCATAATTTAAGGTTATTTCGCTTACTTATTTCTTTTTATGGCATCTATCCATTTATTTCTTTGATTTAATTTCCAGTCCAATGTAGGAAATATATACACAGACTATTTGTGCCCTTATTTTTGCAATTCACAACACAACAACATCTATTAATAGGCATTTTAAAAAATTTTTGTTTATTACGAACTCCGTGCAAATTGACTTTACTTTCCCGGATTGTTGCGTATTTCTGCCACTATAAGCGCTGCGATCGCTTCACTATACCCCCACCATGTACTTCGCACATAGCGAATACATCCAATTTGAATAAAGATATATTGATTTCTGATATCTGATTTCTGAAAGACTTGTTGTCACCATTCGGTAAGTACGAAACAAATAATTTTAGCGCTTAGTTAATAAAAGATAAAGTTATTAGATTTATAAAAAGATTATATCTTAGATTGATTTAATCTAAGGATAATAATTCAAATACAAATTATTTATTATTCGGACCAGCGCGTGTCGGCGCTTATCGGCGCCTATCAGCGCCGATCGGCGCCGATCGGCGCCGGTCCATAGAAAAAGGATCAGCGCCAATAGGCGCCGATAAGCGCCGATCGGCGCTGATCGGCGCCGATCGGCTTTCGGCTTTCTTTCTGTATACGGCCTAGCCAGGATACAAGTCCATAAAGCCATTGGCTTCATTTTTTTTTGGTGTTGCCTGTTTGTCTATTTTATAGTCAGATCTAGGGTATTGCATGAATGTTTGGAGAGTAAATTTTGAATAAAGCGGGTTAAAATATTTAAATAGTGATTTCTAGTGACTTTATCGCATGTGGACTAAAGTTTTGTTTGTTCAGTAAAAAGCATGAGTCACAAAACAAAAAGAATAGTAAACCATTTATGTTTACGATTTTCCTTAAAAATGCTGTTAACAAAGCTGCTACAAGAGTTCCCGTACAACTTACATCTACTAATATTCCCAAAACCGGCCATACAAATTTGGATTTAATTTGCCACAGATATAGTTTATTACTTGGTTTGAGAGAAGTGATACTTTTTGAGTGGAAACTTCTTTAGTATCGTTGCGACTTGAGATTCGATGAAACGGAAGTACGTACAGTATTTGGCACAAGGTAGTTATCCGTATTTTTTTAACAATCTGCAAGAGATGGACAGCCAAACGAAATCAATCTTGGGGTCAATATCAAAAGACAGATAATTGGATCTTGAGCTCGGTAAATGTTTTTCACTACCGCCTTTATAAATTTTTGGAACAATACTAAAGAATATTTTAAGCGATCCACGAGATAGGGCTCAAGAGATCGAAGGAGACAAGAGCACCATGTACACACTCTATCAGTTTGTCTAGGCGGGTGTTCTTAAATATTGTCCCAAATAATTATAATAGCGCTAGTAAAAATTGTACAGCCGGCCTAGAAAACGTAGACATGAAGAACTTTTATGTGTTCCCATTTTTGTAGCAGGTTTCTGTAGGATTCTCAAAAAATTAAGTATAACGTAACTTTTAATGAAGTCGCGTGCGGAAGTTAGTATCATATTGGTGTTGATTCTTTAAACCTAAACTTAAATTTGACAACAAGTTTATCATTTTCATCGACACCATTATAAATTTATTAATTTAAAAACTGAAATTATTATTTACTCAAGTCTAAAAGTTTAAATGTAATTAAATATGCTATACGTTATTTTCTTTAGACATTTTAAGAACACACACATATATTTGGTTATTCATGGATTGATGCATTAATAAATAAAAATTAACATAAATGCGTAGAACGAGTAAAACTTACAAGCATAATAATAATTAGATTAATATAAAGAAGTTTAGTGACAATTTATTTATTTGTATTTATAGCATCAATTTTTTCCCATCCCATATCTGGCGGAATTATCGAGGTGGTCTGGAGACGTTAAATTTTGTAGAACGGCAACCCTGTATCTTTTTTCTTTTCGTTGTCAAGCAAAATGGCGGATCAGGTACGTGCAGAGTTTTTGAAGAAATAAATTAAATATTAATTTACTAACGTTAAAACTGTAATGTTATCTACCGTAATTTGTGTGTGCTGCAGTATATTCTATTAAATTGTGATTTTCTGTGTCAACCGTAATGTTAAATGTCGATATACCTCAGTGCACGTGGGACATAGTTTTTAGTTTATTATAAAGCTAGTGCACAGTGATGTTATCAATAATGAATCAAATATTACATTTGTCGTTCTTTACTTTATATTTCTGTATAAATTCAGACATAACTTGACTTACAAGCTTAATAAAGTTATATTTATTTCTTAGGTTAGGTATGTACATATCTACTCTTGGAATATAATTTAGAACATATTTTACTACTTTCTTTACCATTGTAACGTTTTATGCTACTTTAATCCCAGAATAATATCGGTAGTTAAACTACCTTTTACAATAATATGAGGTTATGTTTACATCTAACCAAATAACACAGTATCCCCATTCTTCTGTTGAATATGTTGACACTTGACAATGCCTAATCATTACCAAACTTGCAGACGGAACGTTCATTCCAAAAGCAACCGACGGTGTTCTTGAACCGTAAAAAGGGCATTGGCGTGAAGCGGAGCAGGAAACCTTTGAGGTACCATAAGGACGTGGGCCTCGGTTTCAAAACGCCCCGCGAGGTAACGCATGTAGTGTGACCGCTAACGAGTGTGTTTTTTTATTCCGTAGACAGAGAAAGCGTTTCAGAAACAGGCGACGGTCTTCCTCAACCGCAAGGGGGGCCTGAAGAAGAAGGACATGCGGCATCATAAGAATGTCGGTCTTGGCTTCAAGACGCCAAGAGAGGTCTGGTTCTCTTATTATTGATGGGTCGGTGGTGGACGTTGCAGGGACACGGGGCCTACGTTGTTAACACTGGAGGCTGGCTTTCAAAACATAGTTCTGTTAAACTTTAGCATAAATTGTCTTTAAGGCCTGTGCTAATAGATCCCTTACAGCGTTGAAAGAAATCTTCGAGATATTGTTTTTTTATGAAAACAGTATCTCAAGATCGTACTTGAAGGATAAAACCATTTTGAAACTCTTTAGCTAAACATGAAACTATGTTTTGATCAATACAAATTCTTAACACTAACACAAACTTTTCCCATTACCATTATTTATTCATTCAAATAACACAATCCTCTTCTGTATCATTTGGCTTGTTGGGGTTTCACACTAAAAATATATTGCATGTGGTAAATAGATGAAAGTTTATTATAATAATTAATTTCAGACCCGATGTTCAGTCCATAATTTATTTATAGATGCAATTGTTTATAAAGAGTTTTTAATGAATTGAAATATCAAACCAGTCAGAGTTTTAGAAATTCAGCTATTTAAAAGTTGACCAATCATATAAAACTATATTTTATTTTATTTATTATTATTTTTTAAACTCATTCCTAAACTGATATTTATTCATAAACTGTTGGTATGCAAATTTTAATTTATTTTTCATCATAAATGTTTTGATAAAGTAATTAAATGGCACATCATTAACTGGTTCCATGTATCATCAAGAAAGGTTTAATTTCATGGTCTCATTCAAGCTCCTAACACTTACATGTTAATGTGGTGGTGTGTTAATATTAATGTGAGATATTATACTATCACATCATATTTCAAACCATGGTGGCAGATTACATGTAGCTTTATGAGGCTTTTGGTGGACATTGTATTTCTGTTGACTGTGAAATGATGAAATCCACACGACGGTCTTCTGACAACCATATGATGAAGATCGTGTTAACCCAAATTCTGATCGCAGTTTTAGAATATTTGCATGAAAACTGTTCACGGAGACCTCACAAACATTAATTGTGTAAACAGTTTAAATAATTCATTAACCTTTTTACATGGCTAAACATACTGCTGTCCTAGTGAAGAATGCAGTAAGAGCTCTGACATGATGTTGAGTAAATTTAACTTTAAAAGCTTACTATTCTTCACTGGGACTTTACCAGCTATATTAAAAATGGATATGAAATGTTAATTTCACTATAATTGCAGGCGATTGAAGGCACATACATTGACAAGAAGTGTCCATTCACTGGAAATGTATCAATCCGTGGTCGTATCCTCACTGGTGTGGTCCAGAAGATGAAGATGCAGCGCACCATTGTCATCCGTAGAGACTACCTTCACTACCTGCCCAAATATAATCGGTTCGAGAAAAGGCACAGGAACATGTCTGTCCATCTTTCCCCATGCTTCAGGTTAGTTACTTTAATTTTATTTTTAAACTAGGGGCAGTCTGCAACTTCGTCCACCCAGAGCAACCTAACATTTTTCTGGGATAAAAATTATCCTGTATCTCCATACAGGTTGTAAACTACATGTGTGCCGAATTTCATTCAAATCAGTTAGTCAAATTAATCAATGTAGTTCATTCAAGGCAAAGTAATAAATATAAAAAAGTTAACCTTTATTTATGTGTAGAATTGAGCATCATTATATTTGATGAGTAATTAATTGAATTGTTTACTCCTCAAGTTGCACCTATGTCGCTCTGCCATCCCCTCATATTCATTGGACTATTTATTAAGGTAGCCCTTAAGTAAGATTCTTCTGTAATTTCCTAAAATATCAATATTTTTTTTTTTTTTTTTTTTTTTTTTTTCGACACACCAATTAGCCTAGCCCCAAAGTAAGCACTATAAGGCTTGTGTTATGGGATGCTAGGGTAACGGATAGAATACATACACTGTACATATATAAGTATATTTATATAAATACATATTAAACATCCATGACTGGAGTACAAATGCTCATATTCATCACACAAACATCTGCCCCCACCGGGATTCGAACCCGGGACCTCTCGAGTTGGCGGCAGCCATGAAACCCGGCGTATTTAATATTAAATCTTGATTTGGGTTTTCTCAACAAGTAATTTATTAAAATGAATGTTTACGCATTGGATTATACAATTTGTTATGGGAATAGCATGAGAAATCATTTTAAGTTAATAATTTTGGCACAAGTCCACCTAGATTAGATTTTTACATTAAAATAGTAAATGAAATGAGAAGAAACAGGCATTTGTTTTAATTATTAGGTACTTACTTAGTTTATATTATATTCTTGTAATGGCTTAGGAAAACAGTAGGGATTTTTTGACAATGATGATACCCACACGACGGTCTTCTGATCACCACTTGACGATAAACGTGTTTCAACCCAACATCTGAGAAAACCATTTTAAATAAAACTATCGCCATTCTATTTTCAACCTTATTGATTTAATTTCGTTTACCATTTCAGAGACGTAGAGCTTGGCGACATCGTCACGATTGGAGAATGCAGGCCGTTGTCCAAGACTGTACGATTCAACGTCCTCAAGGTCTCGAAGGGCAAAGGTTCAAAGAAATCCTTCAAAAAATTCTAAATAAACCTACTTCATAAGTATTTTATTGTTTCATTTGTTAATACTAGCTGACCAGGCTTATTTAGCCTGGCCTACAATACCGCCTACAATAATTTGGAATAATTTATGGACCTGAGCCTACCGTACCAACCGAAGGAACGAACATGAAATCTTTGGCAAGAAAGTAGATAGAACAGTGTTTTATATGAAATTGTTGTTTGTAGTATCTTCGTAGCAATTTTTCCATATTTTCTCACTGTTATTTTTAAAGAACAGGAAGGTTTGCCCTCCCTGGATTGTTAGCTATTAATGTAATGGAACAATACTTAAGCATTGAATAAAAAAGTAGGTATCTATTCTATAGTCCTTAGATTTATAATGTACGATGTATTATTTATGATATTAGTCAGGTGAGTTGGTTAAGTGAAAATTAGAACTACTTCTTTCGCAGGTGTTTTTTCATACCTTTTTCTTTTTAGTATAGAAGTGAGACAGGTATAGACTAAAAGCGATTCCGAGGAGGTTCGATCGAAATAAAAAAAAAGTACCCATGATGCCATGCCTCTCTATGACCCGTAATTTTGAATTTTCGACAACCTTCGTAAATGCATTTTTTGAACAAATGCGTTGAAAAATAATAAATGGTTGAAGTTTATTGAGCTGAATATTTAAACCGGTTCAGAGCTAAGTAGTTGTTTGGGTGAGGAGTAAGTCAAATGAGCTTTGATTCACAATACAAAACTATTTACAAGCATAATGTAATAAGTTACTCAGAACTAGTGCACAAAAACTCCTATTAGTTCGGTTAAAAGACTAGCGAAGTTATTCACAGAACTAGTTGGATGAAAATTCCCATTATTGTGGTTAACAGAACTAGTGGGAATAAAGGCACTAGTAGCGGGTAAAGAAACAAAGCACGCTAGTGGGCCTACAAAGCTGACGTGTACAATAAGTTCTGCTATTCTTCACTAGATGGCAGGAGTTTAATTACATTTTGAAAATGCTCGCTGACAACTATACATTTTTAAGAGAGATGTAGCTAAAATTTAGAATAGAAGAGAAAGCTTTAATGTCATGCTTGCATTAATTTTTCCAATCCATTTGAATTAGCTCAGGCACCGGAAGGGATTCAAACGGTCACAGAATACCCTAGACTAGATCCAAGAGTCCATGGAGTCCCCTAAGTAAAGCTAGAAACATATTAACATGTCGTGTCGTGGCGACGCTTTAACCTCTCTATCTCTCTCTAACCCATAATAAATGTATGAAACCGATGCGCCACGACACTTTAATATGTTTCTGGCTTAAATTGAGTAATGAAAGTCAAAGTCGAACTGATGCGCCTCTGGTGCTGAGTGGCTGGAACTATAAACGAACGACGTCAGTCAGTGCAACTTTGATTTTGAATTTTGATTATAAACGATGAGATTCAATGACTCGCATTCTCGCCGGTGTGGATAGGTCAAGAATAAGTAAAATAAAATTTTATTGAAGGGAATGAATAAAAAAGTCGTCCATGAAAATAATATTATTTCAAACCGCATATATGTAAAAATACAAGGGGCTGATTCTGGCATGATTTTGATTCTCTAAACTTGAAACTTTTAACATGTTTTTCTTTTTCATTCTGTAAAGAAACTGACAAGGATACGCTGTTATCAGGCTTAAAGAATAAAGTTAGAATCGACACCAATATTTTGTTTTCAGTAATCAAACGTTAAAATAGGAACGTCCTTGACAGGTCAGTTATCTTCAGCATGACAAAACAACAAACATGGCTGCCAAGTAGATAACTTTCAAGTCCGATAATTTGTTTTTGATCAAAGTTTATTCCAACGATATGATATCGTTTTTTTCGAAACTTTCATTAAATAACTCTCCAAAGTCACCAGTGGAACTCGCTCAGCCTGCTTATATGGACAAAAGTGCGACCTTGCAAGAATTAGGATACAGAGATGAGAATGACCTAAGAGAAACGATCTACGGTTGGTTTGCTAAAATTAGTGTGGTTTTGGGAGTTTTATTTTGACTTTTACTGTGATTGTAACCGGTGTTGTGGTGTTTTAGACTTTTTGCGGACCATACGAGACCCCGAGAAGCCGAATACGCTTGAAGATTTGAAGGTTGTTTATGAAGAAGGTATTTTCGTAAAAGAGCCTACAGCTGACAAAGTTCCTGTGTTACGCGTGGAATATAATCCCACAGTACCCCACTGTTCTCTAGCAACATTGATAGGACTGTGCATTAGGATTAAAATACAGCGGTCAATCCATCACCCTATCAAACTCGACATTTACATTAAGAAAGGGGCTCACACGACAGAAGATGAAAGTAAGTAATCGTAATTAAGTAATCAGGGTTTGTGAACACAGTGAGGTTTCAGTTTTAGTAATAAACTATTACACTACAGGCCATTGTTATGAATAACAAAGTTTTGTGTAACTGACAGGTGAGAAAACTTAGAATTATTTACATACACTAGCAGGTGAAAAAATCATTAAAACACATGATGATGTGTCAGTAGTATAATTAACAAACACTACCTCAAATTTATTGTCATGTAATAAAAGAAGCTGATGTTGTTATAAATATAGATATTTAAGTGTTCCCTTAAAATTTTAAACAACTCTGAATGTGTGTTGTCTTCTTAAACATGTTATATTTCTTCAAATTATCTGTTTAGGTGTCAAATACATGTTTTGATGCATCTATAAATTTACAAGTAACAAGAAGATCTCATAAAAAGCTGGTCATTACAGTAATACAAAGCACAGCATAATAATTTTTATAAAAATAACTTTTGCTTACTTCTTATTTCAATAACAATACTAGGCTGGTGGGGCTCAGCTTTCCATTATATGTAATTGAGTTGCAAGCTGAAATTTTTGTCACGCAAAGTATTAACTATTATAAACACTTACACGAAATCTTTTAAGGCGGAAACGAATAGAACTCGAGAAAAAAATTATTGAAAATTAATGTTTTTGTAGGTTATGAGTCAATTTTGACAGAAATTTTGATCAGTGCTGCCATTTTTTTATGCAAAAATAACATGTTTCTCGTTGTCTATGGTAAATATAAGTTTATTATGTTGGTACTATTGTCAAAATGTGACAATTTACCGCCATTAATGAGATCTGTCAGTCAGTGTTTGTGTTCGTCCCAGTTGAGAGCTTTTTCGTACTCCTGTTGATATTAACATCGTCTGACTACCATGGCATCCTCAAAGCCTTCGGCCTCGAGTTCTGCTGTCCCTTCGCCTGAAGAGTCGAGTGTAGTGCGAGTTTTGGACTCTAATGAGCCGCTTGTGTGGTGATACTTCACACTAGGTTAGGTTAGGTTAGTGTTGTGACCTTAACGCGCGAGCCGAGCGAGCGAAGCGAGCGTGCCGCGGGAGCGGCCGGCGAAGCGCCAGAAAGAAAAATTCGTTAATAGAGACTCTTTCTACAAAAAAATCTAGGCCCTGGAAGTACAGTTTTACCTTTAAAACCCCTCTAATTTTTTATAAATATCATTTCTGTAAAAAAAACGCCGGGAGGGGGGGGGGGGGGGGGTTACCCTTCCCTCTGAGGAGTCTTCCCTTATACCTATCCCCCTGAAATTCCACTACATTTAACAGATTTAATGAATTTTTAGGTTAGGTAAAAAAAAAACTGCATTTCCGCCAAAAATCTTTTATGGCGGGGTTGTCGGGGAGAGCCCCCCCTCCCCCTCCCCTACAAATTACCCCAAAATTCGATTACATATAATGGAATTAAGTACTGCTGGTGGTGTTCCAGATAAACAAAAACAAGCTTTTGAAATCTAAAGATAATTTTAGTAGATAAAATTCCACTTGGTTCATGGACTCTAGCCCCCACACTCTGTGATCCAGGCTGTGCAGACCAATTATGCTAACGCAATGGAGGAAAGGCACTATAAAATACCAGAGGATATTCGCGTTTCGTCATGCATGCCAGACATATTCCTGTTTTCTGGGCACATCAAACATAAATTACTAATAGAACTTACTGTATTAATTTATTTGTAAAGGTACTGTAAACAGCCAAAGGCCAGTAAAAATGTCCATCCATCAATCAGCCTTTCTCCATCCACTGCTGGATATAAATAAATAAAACAAAATAAAATAAAATAGCCTTTATTTCAGAACTTTCTTAACAAAACAATTGATTTAACATTTTACAATATGTCACGCAGTTCTGTGTGCCTTTTGGCAAAGGCCTCCTCTAACCGACGCCATTCACCTCTGTCAGCTGCGACTCTTGTCCAATACGGACCCAGAGTACAACTGATTTCGTCTTCCCATCTTCTAAACTGGCGTCCTCTCCTGCGCTTTCCATCTCTAGGATACCAGACTGTCACTCGCTTGCTCCATTTGTCTATGGTACCTCTCAGCAAGTGGCCCGTCCACCTCCATTTTTGGTTGTCCACTCTAGATAGAATGTCTGTTATTTTCGTTTTAGATCTTAGATCCTCACTTCTTATTCTATCCCTTAGGCTTACTCCTGACATACTTCTCTCCATAGCCCGTTGACAATGAGTCAGCTTATCCCTTAGCTGCTCCGTTAAAGACCAAGATTCACAACCGTAGGTCAGACACGGTAAAATGCAGGTATCGAATGCTTTCCTTTTAATGTGGATCCCCATACTCCTGCTTTTCATTATTTCCTTCATCGACCAGTATTTCTTCCAACCATAGGCTATTCTCTTGTTGATTTCTTTAGTCATCTGGTCACTAAAAGAAATAATTTGACCCAGATACACATACTCAGTAACATATTGAAAATGGTCCCCATTTAACAATAAATCAATGGGATCTGAGTTGGTCATCACCTTGGTTTTTTCTTTATTTAACTCCAGGCCTACTTCTATACTAATTGATGCTAAATCTTGGATCATAGTTTCAAGCTTCTTTGGATCCTCTTCAAACAAAACTATATCGTCCGCAAACCTGAGATGGTTAAGTCGACAGCCGCTGATGTTTAGGCCAAAGTTTTCCCAATGCTGCTGCTGCTGCACTGCTGGATATAGGGCTGCAAAAATGTTCACAGCTGGAATAACATACGTAAACCTAAGAAAACAGAAATAAAGAAAAAACAATGATGAAAAGTCATCAATGCTAAGTGTTGAAACAACGCGGGTGAAAGGAATGTATATGAAAACTATTGATTTTACCATAGAAAAGTACCACTAATTGTGTACGAATTTATTAAACATTCATGTATATGCAATCAACCAAAATGAAATAAGAATATGCATAAAACACACAATAAATATGTTTATGTATATATATTTAATAAGTATTTATTTATTTGTGGGATGGGGGGGGGGGGGGGTAAAGTGTATCAAGACCACACAATAAATTTGAATAAATATTATGATCTAACCAATGAACTAACTAAAAATGGCTATGTAGTTAATTTGTATGCAGTAGAAGTCAGAGATCTACCAGAAGAATCTATAATCTTTCTTAAAGAAATAGGCCTGTAGAGAACTGCAGTTAGAGAAGTAAAATCTACCTCTAGCAGTGAAGGTTAGCATTAATGCGCATCTTAAAGGGAGCCTCCTTAAACCTACACCTGGGTTGTAAGTCCTGGGAACTGCTTGAGAGTTTCTCTCTCCCAAACGATGAACCAGGCACCTGGATGGTGAATCCATGGATTGCTAAGAAGTTCGTCTCTCTCTCTCTCTTTAGATATTAACTTGTAGTTTTAAAATAAAAATATAATAAATGTTTGTTTTGTTTGACAATACTCACTCAACCAGTTAATGGATAATAAATTATTTATAGTTAGCTAGCTATTACATGTTATGTAATACTAGACGATGCATTAATAAGGTCATTAAACCAA